TGTATTTTACATGTAAAGGATAAACATCCCTTTGACCTCTCAGCTGACTTTATGTGGTCTGTTGTTAATGAATCTACATTTATTCGCCACTTAAAAGGGTTCTTTCCTCTCTCTTAACACCTTCTGTGGGTCGAATTTATTTGGGAAGGTAGAGATCAGACCCAGGATTTTGTATATGTAGGGCAAGCACTTTGCTACTGAACTATACTTCCATGCATTAAACAAAACAAAGCAAATAACTATCTTCAGTGAACAGGATTTATATTTTAGGTTTAAGGAGTTCTATGTGGAATCATCAAATTTTTCCTATAAAAATTTGAAAATAATGTTTTATTTAAAAAAAATCCACAAAATTAAACATTGGATTTTTTAAATTTTATTTTAAAAAGTTTTCTAAGCACTTTGAGAGAACAACTTTTCTAACCGTAAAGAACCATTTTACACTGTAAATGTTTACAACTTATTAAAAACATATGACCTACTTAGAGCATAAAAATAGAAGTTTTGCGGCATCATGTTGGTTGTTTATGGCTAAAGTACAGCCAGTTGCTGCGGATTATACTCTAATCCTAGCATTTAGGAGGCTGAGGCAAGAGGACAGGCATTTGTGGCCAACCTGAGCTAAGTAGCATGCACCTTCCAAGTCAGTCTATATAGCCAGACACTATCTCAAATGCAAATCAAGCAAAACTACCCTAAAATACAGAGCAATTGTACTTACAGATTATTGGTTTATATATTTTTATTAGTCTAACAATGTATAAGACTAGAGTCCTGGTGGGGCAAAATCTAGGGATGTAAATACATGAGTAATAAAAGAAATGTTTATTTAAATGTCTACTTGCTATGAAGTTAGCTAGCAGGTACCAAATAGACCGGGGGTCGTATTCTCTCAATATGAAACAAGCGGCTCTGGGCCAATTGCTAGCAATGACATTTGACTGCTCACACATGGTGACGGGGCAGAGAATAAACTTTTACAGCCAGCCTCTGAGATACAAGGAAGGATAGTGATGAAGTGAAGCATCCTGGGACGTTTCTGTGGGTGGTCATGTTCAGCCTCTCATTCTGTAGAGTGCAGGGTTTGACAATGAGCAGCAACAGGACAAGTCACAGTACTGAGCATGGAGTGAAGGACGCACAGTGGAGATGGTGTTTGCTGTAGGGGTACTTGTACAGAGCGCATACTAAAATGTGGATCTTTCTAAACTCGCTTTACCTGGTAAACTTTTGATTCCAAACAGTTGCAACCCAGTTTGGCAAATAGGGTGCACTGACTGTCAAGCACAGCATGGAACTGTTTGGGTTGTGTATGAGCTCCCGAGTGTGTTGAAACAGAGACATTTTATGATCGTAGAGGGCATGCATTTTAGTCAGGCATTTGCTGTGTAAACCTCGTGATTCTAATTGTGGAACAACAAGCTTTGGGCCACCTTGAAGGAATTCTAGGCATCAAGTAAGTGAGCAAGCTAGGAGGCCTGTGGGGGAAGATTCTGAAATTGATCTGCGTCTGCTTGTAAGGTTAATCCAAACATCTGAAGTAAAACCTGGTTTAGGCTGCAGAAGATGAAGAGGGTGGTTTAAGATGGATGACCCGCCATCACCTCTGTGGACAGGCAGGTGCTTCCCTACAAATAACTGCAGCTGTCAGAGTGCTAGTCCAGGGAGGAGCACCCTACTGTGCGTGGAGGAGCACCCAAGCGTTTCTGGAGGAGCACCCCAGAGTGCCTAGAGGAGCATTCCAGCGTACCTGGAGGAGCATCCCAGAGTGCCTGGAGGAGCACCCCAGAGTGCCTGGAGGAGCACCCCAGAGTGCCTGGAGGAGCATCCCAGCATGTCTGGAAGAGCATCCCAGCATGTCTGGAGGAGCATCCCAGCATGTCTGGAGGAACATCCCAGAGGGCCTGGAGGAACATCCCAGAGGGCCTGGAGGAACATCCCAGTGTTCCTGGAAGAGCATCCCAGCGTGCACTGATGTCTCCTCCAGGCCTCCGAGTTCTTCTGCATCTGAGAACTACTGCTTACTTGTTTCCTTTCTGGCCAGCGCTCAGTCCCCAGTTCTTCCCTTTGCTTTGACAGCTCCATTTTTTCTGTCTACAGAAGTTTAAATAAGAGAATCGTTTACAGGCTGTTTGCCCACAGACATTGATCAGGGTGTTTTTATGTGTTTTCTCTAATGTGCTTCAAGAATCCTCATGCTCCTGGAGACCACACTTCTAAGATGTACTTGTTCATAAGAGGTAAAAGTTTTTATGAAATACAAATAAATCCATGTCTAAAAGTCTTCTGGGAGCACCCAGTTTTTGTTTTCTTTTGGTTTGGTTTGGTTTTGGGTTTTTTGTTTTGTTTTGTTTGGTTTGGTTTGGGTTTTTTTTTTTTTTGGTTTTTCAAGACAGGGTTTCTCTGTGACTTTGGAGCCTGTCCTGGAACTAGCTCTTGTAGACCAGGCTGGCCACAGACTCACAGAGAACCCGCCTGCCTCTGCCTTCCAAATGCTGAGGTTAAAGGCGTGCACCACCACCGCCCAGCTTCTCAGCTCTCACCATGAGTTTGGTCTGAGATTTTTCATCTTTCTCGCTGCCTTGCAGTCGTTCATTATCCAGCTCATCTCTTCCGCTCTGTTTTTCACTTTTGGTTCTGATCCTAAATTCAGAGGCAAGACCAGTGTTTCTCTCTGTACTTCGGATTTCTTCAAACTTTGGGGATTCCTAGGTGTTACTGAGAATTTTGTTCAATTTTTCAGCTTGCTTCTCTCACGTTAGGGGTCACTCTAGGCTTCTCTATCCAGTTATCGTTATAATATACTCTCTCTCAATCCAATATTTTTCATAGAGTCAAAACTTATTTTAGACTCTCATCTTACAACTTGGTGTGACTTCGCTGGTTCTCAAATATTATAATATCCTTCACAGAACCCTGCCATCTTCAGCGGGTGCCATCTTTGAGATGTCTTCCTCTCCATTACCTTTTGTCCCACAGTCACTGTGACATTTGATTGATTTCTAGAAGATTTGGGATTGAATATTCAAAGAAGACATGTTCAGAAATAGCATGACTCTGGTTTTTGGGCTTCTCCCGAAGACAAATCTTGCTTCTTTGATCACTTTCTTAACAATTAACTTGTGAGGATTTCTTTTTAGTTTATTTTAGATTCTCTTCAAAAAACATAGTAAACTTATTGTTAGCTTCATGTACTTTGATATTTTAAGGGAGCATCTTCATAGAGAAAAGAAAGTAAGTTAATTTCCAGTGAGTAAGTAGTTATTATTTATTGGTAAGTGAGCAGCCAGTCAGAATGTCTCTGATTGTTTTTGAGACCCTGGTCTTCCTGATGCTGTCTCTTTACCTTTGAATACTAAGTTTCTTCTATGAGTTTAACTGTGAATTGTTCATGTTTGTTACTTGAATTATGCATCAATTCTTAGAACTCTTATATTCCCTGCTTAAAAAAACAGTTAGTGACTCCCAATGCTAACCATGTCAGTCACACATGAGCCTAAGTTTCCTTGGTTTAAGTGATTTTATACCAAACATCTGAGTTCTAATCTTAAGGCATTATAAATACTGGAGTCTGTCAGTACAAATGTCCATGTGTGAGTTTGGGCAAGTGTATAAATATATATTTGTCTTATAAAGGAAGGTCTTATCATGTTTGTTCACTTACTTAATTTTCCTGTCCCAGTCCTTGGGAATGAGTGTGCATGAATTCTCTTATTCTATAATACAGAAAAAAAAACCAAAAGTCTACTGATTGTTTGGGTTTTGCTTAAAAGCTGGGTCTCCTAACATCTTCAATTGATTATATTGTTTGGTTGTGTATATATGTATATGTATATATATACATACATATATATGTGTATACACACACACACACACACACACACACACACATATATTTTACCCTGCTATCAACACAGATGGATATACTTCCCTGTGCGAGGCTAGAGAAGCTGGGTAGCCCACCAGTGTTTCCATTGCTCATGGTAGCATCTGATTGGTTGATAACTCAGACTCATGATGACAGTCGCCGTGTCTCTGGAACTTTCTGGGGTTTAGAAGCCATGAGCTCTACTCAGCAGTTCATTCTTTGGCAGCAGGCAGTACTCTGTTTTCCTTGGCTTTTTCTCCCAGCAAGTATTATAAGCCTTCTGTCCTCACTGTGGGATGATTACTCTCTTCTCTTCACTTGAGCCATAATTCAGTAGAAGCTATTTTTACCCCCAGAAAATGCAGATAGAAGTAGTGTAATTGAGAATGCTGTCTTCAAGTGCAATTGGCTAAAATTTTATGTACTAAGTCTGATATAGACTGGCTTGGTTGTCCTTATAAGCTACTCACTAAAATAAAAAAAGTAAGGATATTTTTGTTTGTTGTTTGTTTGTTTTTCTACTTTTTGAATTGCATCTCCATTAAGGCTAACTGTTCATTAGGAGATAATGATTTTGTCTCTATAGGAAGATCAAACTTAAAAGTAACCACCTACATACACACAATGTACTTAATGGGGTCATTAACTTACTCAGGTGATATCAAGGAATTCCATTACATTCACATTTAACAGAAATATCTTTCAAGTATATTCCTTTTTGTGTATGTGTTTAATTAATTGCTATCCAAATAGTTTCAGAAGAATCATGTCGAACCTGACTGAAGATAAACAATAGTTATTTAGATTTGGTCCTTATAATTTGAGACCTTCAGAAAAACGACACCTCAACTCCTTGCTTTAGCAAATCTTTTCCGTATTGATGGTATGTAAATGGAATGAGTAGAAATTCTGACTTCGTCGTGTTTTGTGGTAGATGGTTGTGTAGACCAGCATTGGGGATGAAAGAGAGCTTAGGTGTGCAAAAGAGTATTGACCTTCACAAACATTGGGTCCTTTTCCAATATCTGGTGGTGCAAAGCAGGGAGTGGAGATGGAGAAACTATGTAGCAGCCATTATACAACCAGTAAAAATAAAATGGAACTATACTACAAATAATCTGTTATATTTCAGGTCCTCCGGGGAAACGAGGGAAGAGAGGCCGAAGAGGAGAGTCTGGTAAGTGACTGCCTCACGTTACTAAAGTTCTGGTGCAGTAGTTATGGTTTTTCCCCTTAACCAATGGTACTATTCCCTTGTTGGAAGGTGTGCACGTTTGGCACCTCTAGTCTAGACCTTGAATTTAAGAATAGACCCTAATTTCAACAAACTCTAAGAAGGAAGTATTGGCAAACTGTTGTCCATTATGGTTTGCTAACTACAGACTCTCCCACCCCTGTTCTAGCTTGCTTGACCATCAAAGTCAACCCACCTGGCCTGTGTTCCTTGTTGGGGTTCTCACCCACACATGGTATGGCCACATCGCCATGTGTCCTCTCTCTGGGTGACCAACCAGAGGGTCTTTATCTATCTTAGCACTTTAAGGAGGACCCCCTGGAAAGCTCCGTTATTTTATCCAGTGGGCATAGTATGTCATACTTCTCCACCGTTCTTACTGACTCTAGGGTGTCTCCTGCCACAGCCATGGGGCTTCGGTGGTTAGAGCAGTATCCTTAGTCTGTCTGGGGTTTCCGTGATGTCACTGCAGAAACGAGGCAGTTGACTGATCTGGCCATAGCTATTACAATCGTTTCTCCTGACTCTCACTTCAGTAGCTTGTGCTTTCGGGACAAATTCCTATAGGTGAGGTAAAATAGAAAAGGCCAAATTAAGATATTTCTGAAACCAAGGTTTAGCAACAAGGAAGGTCAGTTACTGCTCTTACTCTAAGAAGTCTTTAAAAGGGTCAACAGCCATGAGCTATTTCTTATGAGGACATCAGTTCTCCCTTTCATGGTGACTCCAGCTCCGAGATGGGATTCTCCACTCTCTAGGGTTAGTTTTTTATCAATATTTAAGGCCAGGTGTTGAAATTGTGGAGCTGTCACTGTCAGGAAGACCAGACAGTGGGCTGAATCTGGCATGCTCCACTTCCCCTCTCCCTTTCAGAAAAGATGAGAACATGAAAGGGATTCTGAAAATTCATCAGCTAGGGAGGGTGGCTGCTGGTTCCCGAATATTCTCAAAAGCTGGCCTTGGGCCACCCTGAATCTAAATGGCGGGGCAGAGTTCGCAATAGAGTTCTTTAAAAATTAAATGGTAAGGTTAGCACACAGAGCAATGGGTCATTTTTGCATCTTCATACATATGTGTCTCGACAGTTTGTTCCCATTTGTCTTGACTCTGCCAATCCCTGCCCCGCCTCATGCTTCCCATACTCCCACTGGTCCCCTTTCTCCCCCCTCCCCAAGTAGTCTTGAAGAAAAAGAAATGATAAAGCTATCACCAAAGTAATGTTCTTCAAAAGATTGAGGTGGAAGATGAAAATCATGTACTTGTGCAAAGTTCTATAGACAAGCTAAAAATCACCTTCCAAATGCCTAGTCACTGAGAGTTGGCGTTTAGAGCATATGGTGCGTGAAATACAGAAATGCACTCAGTTTTTGCCTGTGCTCTGGTTTAAAGAAACCTACAGAGACACTAGGCCTGGGCTTTTCTGTATCGGAGGAAGTGTTGAAGGAAGGATGCTCTTTAATGAAAGCCTTCGGCCAATGGTAGGCTTTGCTGATTTGACTGTTTGTCAAGCTCAGGTCTCTGGACTAGCCTTCAAACATTCAAACGTCAAGATTCTCCTGGCTCATATTTTACTTAGACCCACTTGTATTACGCAGTTTTATTTCAAGCTCACAGGTCTCTCAGATACACATTAGTAGGCTTTGGAGAACCCGAAAGTTTGTCCAAATTCTATGCACAATTTGTGTTTGGCCATAAATTTATTTTTTCTGTCATCTCCAAGTCTGTGATGTAAAGAAAACATTTAAGAATCACTGTGTTGTAAGTCCCCTTTGTATCCTTAGTATTGTGTTGGTGGTTATAATGATATGTTATCTATTAACTAATTTTAACATTTACATTCACTAATTTTTCTTTCCTTTTTCTCTCTTTTTCACCCCACCCCATCCTGCCCCACAGGCCCTCCTGTAAGTATAGTCTGATGAGGTCGGCTCTTTCTACATTAACCAGGATCCACGTATGTTAAAAACCTCGTTCAAAACAGATATGGTGGAAGCTTCACTTAGGAAAATGGGATTGACATTTTATGAATGTTTAAGTGTGGAAAATGATGGCTTTACTAGAAAATTTTGGGTCATGCGCTATACTAGAACGCAGTTTTGGGGGTGGACTTTATTTTTTTTTTAATGTTGTCACACACTGATTATTCTCCTGAGACTTCGGGGTAACACATAAAGCCCCTGGTTTTGAGTCTTTTTCCTGGAATCCTGAGGTTTCTTTTGCACGCAGGTCTCCCAGCTATTTCACACTTCTTTTTCCATCTGTTTAAACTTGTGTCTGAGATATTTGGATTTGCGGGTCCACCAAATGTAGATGGCAATATGATCATGGAAGCGATACCCCCCGTGCGCCGCCAGGGCCCGTCCTCCCTTCTTAGGCAGAACTCCCTTTGAAGTCTGTTGGAGCCCTGCCTGCATAAGGAGCCTGAGACGTAGCCCTTGGAGAGTTTGTGCTCCTTTCTTTCCCTGTGCAGGTCATAGCTGTGGCATTCCAAACCACTTTGCACTCACAGGAATAGATTATCTTGTCAGCTTTGTGCTTGATGCATTTTTGAGTAATATCCTGGCTATCTGCTGTCTGACCCTGGTGTTTATACTGTGCACTGGGCCTTTTCAGTAGCAAGATCGTTAGCCTTGAGATAGTTTCTCATCCCAGACTCTTACCCTGCCAATTTATCTGAGGCCAGCATAGTCCAGGGAGAGGGATTAACACACACTTGTTGACTTGTTCAGAGGAAGCATTGGCTTCTAAATATCTTTTGCAGTCTTCCTGCCATGTTCAAGGATGGGCCATGAATCATGTTTGCAATGATCTCGCTTCTGTGACTGACTCATCTGCTCTTTCTCAATGCTAAGTAGACAGCATGGCCCAGGTCTAGGAGCCTTGACTCTGCCTCCATAAAACTCAAAACAAAACGTGACTGCCCCTGAGGAAACTCCCCAGGTTACCAGGGGAGTAACGTGTTCAGGGCTTCTTTCTGTGCAATTTGTATTTGTCAGTCAGACCAAGAAGTTAATTCTCACGTCTACAAGGGTGTTACCTTTAAGATGCAAGTATTTCCTCCTTGATTCTTTAAAACAGCCTGTCACATGGTACCTTTGTTTGCTTGGCCTATTTCTTAGCCCAGATTTTCCGCTTTAAGATTTTGTGGATCTTTCCTTACGGTATAGAAAGAAAGAAAGAACTGATTAGGTCTTAACTATCTGGTGTGCAATCGTCTAGGGACTTTGAACACCAAATTGCATGTTTGGTCATGCCAGCCCTCTGATATTGCTAGCTCCATTGCCCAGTGATGAAACCTAAGATTCACTGAGGTTAATTCCACAAGGCTACATAGCCAAGGGCTTGTGAGGTTAAAATTCAGTTGGATACATCTGATTTTATATACTTTCAGCTTCATGCTTAGTTCTTTATGAATTCTAAATGTGTTACGACGCAGACCATTGTTATACAAGTTAGGTAGCCCATAGTTAAATCACATTCCCTGGCATTAATAATTACGTACAATACAAGCTTGGTAAGTCATTGTAAAATGGCCACATTATAAAGCAAGTGTGACCTCCCCTCCACACTATTTTGACTTCATTTCAAACAGGTCATGACAAGGGCAGCAAACTACTTCACAGGCATATGTTGTGACCCTGTGTTTCCATGCTAAGTAAGAGACAGTTCAAATTGGTCACATGAGGATCAGATGAGAAGTGATTTAAAGGAGAAACATCCCCCACAGGCTCAGGCATGTGCATACTTTCTCCCCAGGTGGTGGCACTGCTTGAGGAGGTAGAGGGTACAGCTTTGCTGGAGGGAGTCAGACTGCCTACTTCCGCCGCACCTCCCGATAAGATGAACTCTGATCTCTCTAGAGCTATAATTTAGATTAAACTCCTTCCTTAAATCCCTTTTGGTTCTGGTCTTTAATCAAGGCAACAGAAAAGTAGCTGGCACATTAGTAGTTGGAAAAAAAGAAGGAAGAAAAATGCATAAACGATGCAGCCTCTTGCAATGCAATGGAGTTGTATCTTGTTGCTTATGTTGCTATGCCTGGGGCTCTTATGGTTAAAATGGTCTCATAATGAAATTCTGTTGAGCCCCTCATTTTTTTTAACCCCCATCCAGGATTTCTAAGAAATATCTGCCTTCCATCTAATTTTCCTTTAGAATATGTAGCTTTACAGGCAATTACTATGGTCTGAATAAATATTAATGAATAGTGGCCCATTATGATTAGGCAGACTTCCTGTCAATGTACTTTCTATCTACAGACACATCCAACTATCAACAATTTTGATGTCTAGCGATCTTATATTTCCTATTTTAGGCATCATTTTCATTTTATATGTGGGTTTTCTTTTACTCTTTTCCATGAATCAAAGTCTGAAGTTCATGCAATCCTATTTTTAGAAAAATTTTCTTTCCCTAATTGGTGTCCTTAAATTGTACTCAGCTGTCTCCACAAGTATGAAACGACTTCCCTTGTGGATCTCAAGGTGTGTTACCATTTTAAACACAAGGGCCTTCGTTTTCATTCTGTTATTTTTCATGTACTCCGATAAGATTATAGTCTTGCTTCTGCTGGGCAACCCTTGGCACAAAACCTATAGCAATGAGGTCCTCCAGGACCCCAGGAGTCTTTCTTGCTGACCTCCTGGGGGGCTGGGGCTTCTTGTGAACAGAATGCTGAGGTGTGGCCTTGCATCCAGCTCTGCATTTTCCTGTCCTGTCCTTTATTTTATTGTCAGAGTTAATCGGTTAGTAGAAACGGCAGCACTGGGCACACTGCCATGATCCACAATGTGTTGACTGACCCAGGGGAGGATGCCATATCTCACTGACTTTTGTTCTTGCTAGAACGTAACTGGTTCTTGTGACCTTCTTGCAGTAATGCTCTCGGGATGAGAAGAACAAAATGAAAAAGCATACTTGATTGTAAAATTTACCAACTTTTCATTTTTATCTTCATTTGATCTATTTTGGAAAACTCAACTCTAACACACTAGAATATGTGGGTACACATAATCACACATTTTCCTTGTCAGTGTCTGTGTTTTGTATACTGAGGTTATTTATAATTTAAGACTTGAAGTGCAACTTGAATTAGATCTCACATATCAATTACTCCACAGTAAGCTGTTAAGCCTTAATCAATTTTGAGGAAAATATTTATGAACAGCTGAAATAGAGCCATTTTATGATTATAAATGTGATTTATCTGCTTTTCTATCTGCTCATGAAGGAATCATTGTAGAATCCTGCTCTGAGGAACTCCATGCCAGTGCTTTAGGCCTCGAGCTCCGATAACACCACATATTCACTTGAGCGATGTGTCTGACCACTGTGTTTCCTAGCTATGAAATTATACTTTCGGATTTGGATAGTGTGTGTGTGTGTGTGTCTGTGTGTGTGAGCACATGCTATGCATACAGATAATCTACATGTCCATGAATGGAGGCCAGAGGTTGACATGAGGCATCTTTCTCCATTGTAGTCCAACTGGATTTTGAGACAAGGGTTGCTCACTCTACCTGGAGCTCACCAATATGAGCTGCCCATTGAGCTTTAGGAATTTGTTGCTCTGTCCTTCCAATGGGATGGTTATTCCACCCCCCCCCATGCCTGACTTTTAATGTGTGTTGGGGAATCCAAACTCTGGCCCTTGGATTTAACAGCAAGCACTTTGCAATTGAACCATCTCCAGCCCCTGGTGTTTTTTTTTTTTTGTGTGTGTGTGTATGTGT